CCCCGTTCATGATGTTAGCCTTTAAAATTACCCTTAGATCTGTAAGACCCCAGAGCACACTATTTAAGGTAACTTGGATGCCGTGTATCCTGGTGATCATCTCACTTTGACTCAAATAAGCTCTTTCATTTTATTTATTTTTGCCTTAGTCACCTTTTCAGGCTGACAGATGGATAGGATGAATGATATTTAAACCTTATTTTCTAAATGTTTTTCATGATTTCTAAATGATTAATTCATATGAGGAATATTGTCTTTCTCTTTAATCCAGATGTCTGGTTTTCTGCTTTTACAATACACACTCTACATCACCATCTTAGAGCTCACTGCTGCAAGCATAAACATCCATTGGGCTCTCGGAGCATTTCATCATGAGCTATACAATGAAGAAAGTGAGTAATTTTGGTCTGACTGTCAGATCAAGATAAAATTGTTTCTATTAGGAACTTTCTCTGAGCGTCTAAGTTCAGCTAGAATTTGGGAACAAAATTGTTCTTTCTAAAGTAAGATCAAGGACAGACAGCTGAGTACATTGTAAAACATCTTCTGCTTGATAAATATGACAGTGACGTCAGACAACTTTCCCTATAAAGTTTGTCTCATATATTTATATCTTTTAGGAGGTTAATAGAGGAAATACATAGATCTAAAAGGCTTCAGGGGTCATATCAGTGACAGTGGAACACTGAATGCTATAGACTCAAATACTCAAGTTTTGTTGTGAAATGTTAGTTTCTAAAGTCTGGGATCTTCAAATGCTTTCAAAAAATAAATATTTTAAGAACTCTGAACAAAGTACTTCTGCAATAGAAAAGTAAGAAACTCCAAAATCTAGTCTTCCATGAAAACAATGAGAACACTGACAAAAGTTGTCAAAATCAACTCTTTTAGAACTCTGGACATTAGTCAAACACTTGCAACAATTTAAGGAACATTTCTTCAAGATAAATGTCTGACTCTTGGTAAGAACAGTGAGCTTTATGGTGTTGTGTTTGCCCTATTACCATCCCACTTGCCCCATCTTCACAGTAGCTTCTCGATGTTAACAATCTTGAAACCACAATTCCGTAATAAACCCAAATCTAACACCCAGAGAAATGGGCAAAATGAGACTGGACTTCTCTGAAAAAAAATACTTCCATTCAGAGAATTGTTATTGACTTATCTGGCAACTCCCTGGAAATCCCATTGGGAAGAAGCTTCTTAACCTGACCTCACGCACAACTCAGTCACTGTGAACAGCTTTTCCTACTGGGATGTTTGTCAAAACAATCAGCGACATTTAATATTACTGCTGCCTGAGGCAAAGATAATAGTTTGAACAAACAAAAGACTGACAAAAAAATTTTAAAAGGAAAAACCTGGGGAGTAAGATGTCCATAAAAGACAATGACAAGGGAACCAGCAGTTAGCATAATGGCTATGTCGCTGGACTCCCATGTAGTCGACCGTGGTTCGTGTCCCGGACCCTATGGCTTAAAACTTGTGTGTCTGACTTAAGTTTTCCTGATATAGTTCTACCTTCAGAACTCCTTGAAGAACGGTCTGGTGTTAGTAAATTCTTTCAGGTTTTGTTTATCTGAGAATGTTCTTGTCTTCTCTTCCCATATGAAGGATAATCTTGCCAGGTATAGTATTTTTGGTTGAAATTGTTTTTCACTCAACACTTTGAATATGTTTTCCCATTTTTCCTTGCTCTCATAGTTTCCCATGAGAGGACTACTTTAGCCTGATGGGATATTCTTTGTAGGTAACTTGAGCTTTCTCTCATGAGCTTTGCCATGTAGAAGTTTTTTAGCCTGATGTAGTCCCACTTGTTTATTTTTGGTATTACTGCCTGTACTTTGGGGGTCTTATTTAAGAAATCTTTGTCTACTCCGATGTCTTCAAGAGTTTTCCCTGTGTTTTCCACCAGTATAGTTTAATCTTTTGAGGCTTTATGTTTAGACCTTTGATCTTTTTTGAGTTGATTTCTGTTCATGGTAAAAGAAAGGGATCTAGTTTCATTTTTTTGCAGGTGGATATCCATTTCTTTCAGCACCATTTGTTGACAAGGCTTTTTCTTCCCCATTGGATTGTCTTATGCTCCTTTCAAAAATCAGTTGGCCAGCTGGTGTTTTTATTTCTGGAGTCTCTATTCTGTTCCTTTGGTCTCTACATGTCTATGTTTGTGCCAGTACCATGCTGTTTTGGTTATCACAGCTTTGCATATGTTTTGAAGTCAAGGAAAGACATATCTCCTACTTTGTTCTTTTTGCCCTATATTGCCTTGGTAATATGCAGCTATTTATTTATTTATTTATTTATTTATTTTAGAGGCTTTTGCCAGAAAGACAAAGAGAGATAGAGAGACAGCAAGAAATCACCCCCACAGGGGGGATGGCCACGCTGCAATCCCTTCTCCTCCCTTCTCCTCTTGGGATCTTGGACACGCATGCACACACACCCAGCATGAGTTTAAGCCACCAGGTCCGGGACTCAAACCATGGTCAACTACGTAAGAGTCCAGTGACATAGCCATTACGCTACCTGCTGGTTCCATATGCAGCCTTTTATGATTCCAGACAAATTTTATGATTTTTTTTTTCTATTTCTGTGAAGAATATCACTGACAACTTAATTGGAATTGTATTGAATTTGTAAATTAATTTGGGTAATAGTCACATCTTAATTATATTGATTCTTTCGATCCAGTAACATGAAATGTCTTTCCTTTTTAGCATAGCATGCTCAATTTCTTTTTTTCAATTTTTTATACAGAAGTATTTTACCTCTTTGGTTATGTTTATACCTAAGTGTTTTGTTCATATGTGTGGCTATTGTGAATGTCATTGCTTTCTTTAATTCTACCTCAGCCTGTTCATTTGTTGGTGTATAAATTTGCTATCAATTTTTGTATACTGATTTTATCATATAACTACTAAATTTACTTATAGGAGTTTTTTCATGGATTACTTTGGACTTCCTGTGTATATAATCATGCAAATAGGGACAATTTAATTTCTTCTTCAAACAAATAATCCAATTAAAAAATAGACAAATGAGCTGAACATGTAACTCTCCAAGAAAGACATACAAATAGCCAAAAAAAAAAAAATTTAAAAATGCTAAACATCTCTTATCATAGGGGAAATGAAAGTCAAAACCACAATGAGATACTACTAAACCTGAGTCAGAATAGCTACGATCAAAAAAATAAATAAATAAATAAAGATCGACAAGTGCTGGCAAGGCTATGGTAAAGAGAGCCCTCCTACACTGTTGGTTGGAATGTAAATTAGTGTATTCACTGTAGAGAACAATATGGCAGTTTCTCAAAAACCTACAAGTAGAACTATTACATGGCCCAATAATACCACTCCTGGGTATTTACCTAAAAAATAGAAAAACACTCAGTCAAAAAAGACACTTGCACATCTATGTTTATTGCAGCATTATTCACAATTGCCAAAACATGGAATCATCCTAAATGCCCAAGAATAAAACACTGGATTGACATATGCAGCACATATACATTACTGAATACTGCTCAGCCACAAAAAAAAAAAAAAGAAAGAAAAAAGAAATCGTGTCATTTGACAAAGTGGATTAAAATAGCAGATTTAATACTAAGCAAAACAAACCGAACTATGGAATGAAGACAGGCATTGTGTGTCCCTGCTCAGTATATACCAAATGTCTGTACTTTATGGCAGAAACTGAAATATTTAACAGCAGAGATGACAAGTATAGTTACCAGAGACTTATAGGAGAGGGTTGATAATGGGGAGGAGGCTCAGGGAAAAAAAGTTTAACAGACACAATTAGCTGTTGAAGATAATGTATATGGTAATATCTTTGACTTGATTAACATGCAATGTATGGCATGTTGTGTACATGCTTTAAAAACTCGTATTGTAAGCTGTTAAGTTGCGCAGTGATTAAATGTAAAAAAAAAAAGAAAAAGAAAGGACATTACTAACAACCTTACAGAAATAAAAATGGTATGCAATGAACGATCATATGCCAACAAATTACATAATCTACATGAAATGGATACATCCCTAGAAATACGCAAAAGTACTGAAACAGATTGAAATAGAAATAAAAATTTGGATAGACCTATCACAAGTTAAGAGATTAAATTAATAACAAAAATCTCTTTTCATAAACAATCACCAGTCCCAGATAACTACATTATGACTTCTACCAAATATTCAAAGAAATAATAATAATCCTTCACTACTCTTGCTAAAAATAAAAAAGGAAAGAACACTTCCTAACTCATTCTTTGAGACTAGTATTACACCGATAACTAAAATCAGACAAAGACCTCGCAACCAAAGAAATCTGTAGCTAATACTAATTATGAATAACTGAATGCATAAATCCTTAGAAAATACTAGCAAATGGAATCCAACAACACATAAAATATATTATACATCATGACTAATTAAGATTTATCCTAGGAGTACAAAGCTGGTTCTACATATAAAATCAATCAAGGGATGAGGCTAGCAGGTAGCGTGGTGGTTGGGGCACTGGACTCCAACATGGCTGACCACGGTTCAAGTCCTACAGCTGGCAGCTTGCTTTCTCACTTTTTCTCTCTCTCTCTCTTTCTCTCGCACAACTATAGCAAGTTAAATAATAATAATAAATAAATAAGTAATTGTTTAAAAAAAATAACCAAGGGCTGACCCCCTAGCTAGTAGCTAAGGAACTCTATCCCACATGACCACCCACAGCTCAAATCGTTTGAAAAACACACCAGACATGTGTGTGAATATGCCCCAAATCCCAACAGGATGGAGAAATGGAGGAGAATGGATTGAAACATGACCATGCCCCATTGAAGGGTGCGTTCTCTCTATCTCTGTGTCTTTATTTATGAGTCGCACACACACTTTGGTGATTTTTGTTTTAGATGGATATAATACAACATACTAAGAGAATAAAATAAAAAGCAAATGGTCATCTCAGGAGATATAAAATAAGCATTTAACAAGATGCAACACTCTTTTATTATTAAAAAAAAAAAAAAAAACTCAACAAAGTAGGAATAGGATAGAATTTCCTCAACCCCAAGAGGGACTTTTTTTTTTTTTGAGAGATTTTTTTCGCTATAGGGTGCGTGCACTCACCAGACAGACAGAGAGAGATATAGAGTCAGAAAGCGAGAAATCATCCCCCAGGGGGGATGGTCACGCCACAATCCCTTCTCCTCCATTCTCCTCTCGGGATCTTGGGCAGGCAGGCACATGCGCCCGGTGTGAGTTTTAAGCCACCGGGTCCGAGACGTGAACCGCGGTCGACTACATGGGAGTCCAACAACATAGCCATTACGCTAACTGCTGGTTCCCAAGAGGGACATTTATGAAAAATCCGTAACTATATAATACTTGATGGAAAGCTATTGAATCATTTTCCTCTAAGATAAAGGATAAAATAAAGATACCTACTCTTGCTGTTTTTATTCAACATTGTGCTAGAGATTCTGTCCAGGGCAATCAGGCAATAAAAATAATTAATAAATAAGAAGATCCAGGGAGGTCAGCTGTGGTGTGGTGGCTGGGGCTGCTGGATCCCCTATGGCCCACCGTGTTGTTCAAGTCCTGGACCTAGTGGCTTGAAAGACTTGCTGGGCATGTGTACATGTGTGTCCAAAAGCTCAAAAGGAAAATGGAGAAGGGATTGTGAAGTGGTCATCCCACCCTGGGGAAAGGGAGGCTTTCTCACAGTCTCTCTCTCAAAAGGAAAATGGAGAAGGGACTGTGAAGTGGTCATCCCACCCTGGAGAAAGGGAGGCTTTCTCACAGTCTCTCTCTCTCGTTCTTTCTCTCTCCAGTAAGTGCACGTACCCTATAGCAAAATGAAAGGAAATAGGTTGGTCAAGGAAGAAGTAAAACAGACTCTCTTACAGATATCATGGTCTCATATAAATATATATATATATGTATATATACATGCTAAGAAATCCATGAAAATAGTTAGTAGAACTAAGAAACAAATTCAACAAAATGACAGGATACAAGATCAATATGCTATCAATATACTAATGTGTAATATCATCATACTGTAGTATAACCCAGATGCTCTCCACTCCATTGGCTGTTCAGATATTTCTCTCCTCACCTCAAAAAAGAAGTATAAGAGGATCTTAAAATTGTTGTGGAATAATACAATTAACATATGAGTTTAATTTAGTGCAAAAATTTTTCAAAATCCATGCTTACTTTTATCATAATGTGCATTTCCATGAACTTTCTTTTTTTTTTCTTTCTTTTTTTGAAGAGGTTTTTTTTTTTGCTATAGGACGCATGTGCTCGCCAGACAGACAGAGAGAGACAGAGAGACAGAAAGCGAGAAATCACCCCCCAGGGGGGATGGCCACACTGCAATCCCTTCTCCTCCATTCTCCTCTCGGGATCTTGGGCACACACGCACACGTGCCCGGCGTGAGTTTAAGCCATCAGGTCCAGGACTCAAACCGTGGTCGACTACGTGAGAGTCCAGCAACATAGCCATTACGCTAACTGATGGTTCCCATTTCCATGATCTTTCTGAAGACTCTTCATGGAGAACCCAAAAAGAATCTCAGTACTCACCTAAGTTTAGCTGAAAGTTAAAATCACTTTGAAAAGAGTAATGTTTTACTTTAAGATGATTGTTGGGCCAGCTGTGCTGTGGTGGTTGCCATAGCTAGATCTCATGTGGCTGATTGCACAGTGGAGTCCCAGGGGCTTGAGAAACGCTTAAGGCATATGTGCATGCTTGCTCAAAATACTGAAAGGAGAAATGGAGAAGGGATCACAGCATGACCATCTCTGATATGGGATGTTTGCTCACTTTCTCTGTTTCTCTCCCCTTTTCTCTGACTGGTGAGCACATTACCCTCTAGCAAAATTGAAATAAAAAAATAAAGATTTTTGTAGTTTATTGAAAGCTCTGGTAATTGATGGGTCATACGGTTAATGTGCCTTTGAGTAGGCCCCCCAGGACAGGACAGGTGTTGTCTTCTGAGTACTTCAACTGGCCATGGTCTAGGTTTGTATATTCGCTTGTTTGTTGTTGTTACTGTCTTATTTTGATTAAATGGCTAAGAACAGGTTCTTCTTACAGAGTATAATAATGATTGATTTTCTATCACTCAACTTATCCCAGGTTCATCTTCAGTCTCGGAAATCTCCTCATCAGAATATTCTCCCCCTTCATAATTTGCAAAGAACCAGTATGACTCCAATCAAGAACAAACGAATCATTGTGAATTAGTGAAGAACTCTGTAATTTTCAAAAGGCCTCATGGGAAATGTATTCTAATGAAGTTCTTTCCATTACTCCTCTTCCCTCATCCTTCAATACAGGATGCAATCGGATCATAAGTTCACTCTTCCCTTTTTAAAAAGCTTGTATAGCCAAACATGGATAAATATAGCCTGCCTTACCCTTGATGTCTGAAGGATGTAGAAAAGCAGAGATGAATGCCCACTTTATTTCAGGTTGAAGGGGACTGGCACGAATGAAGGGACACTTTCAACTGAGAAAAAAAGTACTTGGCCTTCGGAAGTACGCACAGTGTCAATGTAGCAATAGCAAATCTCTTGACCTCTCCAGTAAACAGAAATTATAGTTCCTAGTCCTTGGAGTAGATGGGCGTATTAAGTGGCAAGACATCATCAAAAGGGCTTAGAATAGCTCCTTACACATAATAATTCCTCAATAAATTGTTATTACTTATATTTTATCAGCATTTTTAATTATAACAGTAGCATGATGATCTTAGGCTAGATTTGAACTTGTCTTATTTTCCAAGAAATGGAGACTAGAACCTACCTCTGAAAGCAGACGATGCACTCAACATTTTAAGTCCGGGGGCTGTTGTGGATTAAATTGTGTCTCCCCAAAAAGACATGGAAGTTCTCACCTTTAGTACCTTAGAATGTTACCTTAGATAGGCATTGAATCTTTACAGAGGTAATCAAGTTAGATGAAGTCACTAGGATGGGCACCAATCCAGAGACAGTCATGTACAGAGAGAAGACTGTAAAGACCCATGAGAGGATATGGAGTGATTCATCTATAAATCAAGAAATGCCAAAAATTGGGACCAGCAGTTGGCGTAATGGCTATGTTGCTGGACTCCCATGTAGTCAGCTGCAGTTTGAGTCCCGGACCCAGTGGCTTAAACTCACACCGGGCACATGTGCGTCCATGCCCAAGATCCCAAGAGGAGAATGAAGGAGAAGGGATTGAGGCATGGCCATCCTCCCTGGGGGGTGGGGGGGTTGTGATTTCTTGCTTTCTCTCTCTCTCTGCTTCTCTATCTTTCTGGTAAACACACGCGCCCTATAGCAAAAATCTCAAAAAAAAAAAAAAAGAAGAAGAAGAAGAAAAGAAATGCCAAAACTTGTCAGCAAACCACCAGAAGTCAGAAAGAGGTAAGGAGGGGGACCAGCAGTTAGCATAAGGGCTATGTCACTGGACTCCCACGTAGTCGACCGCAGTTCGAGTCCCGGACCCAGTGGCTTAAACTCACGCCAAGCGCGTGTGTGTGCATGCCCAAGATCCCGAGAGAAGAATGGAGGAGAAGGGATTGCGGCATGGCCATCCTCCATGGGGGATGCTTTCCTGCTTTCTGTTTCTCTGTCTGTCTGTCTGGCGAACGCACGCACCCTATAGCAAAACCCTCTCCAAAAAAAAAAGGAAAGAAAGAAAGAGGTAAGGAGGAATCTTTCTGCTACAGGTTTCAGAGGAAGCATGATCCTGCTAACACCTTGATTGACTTTTAGTTTCCAGAACAGTGAGGAAATGAATTCTGTTAAAATACTCGGTTTGTGTTGCTTTGTTAGAGCTGCCCTACCAAACAAAGGCAGGCAACTTTTAACTCGAATGAGCACTGTATTTCCTCTACTCCCTGGAGGGTGGTAGGTACTTATTAAGGAAGTTATCTTCTTTCTTCAGCATCCCACAGTAGGAGTGCAGCATTTGAATGGTTCTCCTCTCTGAAAGTGGGAGAGAAGGGAAGAAGATATAAAGTTTGTGGGTGTCTAGAGGAAAAAAAAAATCCCTTCGTATGCTGTTAGTCTTTGAGACCTCGGTAGGACTTGCTAACTTGCTCCAAAACAACCAGGGCAAGAGCCAGCAATGTTAAGAGAAAGCATGCAGAGAGAGGCCATCGACCACCTCTGAAGTGCAGACTTTGAAAGGGTTAAATAAAAGAAAATCTCACCAATACCAAAAGGTCCCCACCTCAGAACACTACAGGGAGATGAAGCTGGAAGCCTCAGTTTCCTGAGAATTGCTGTAGTGTGGAGAGCAGTGCACTAACTCTGTGCCACCATGTCTGGTCATCTTCTCCTTTTTTCAATGTTCTCCTTTTTATTATGTATTTACAGTTTACCACTGTACATCTTTTCAGCATACAAAATAGTTTTTCTTAGCATGAATACAATACATATTAGTCAGGTCAAAGAAGTTACCACGAACCTTATCATCAACAGATAACTTCGTTTTTATGTCTGTTAAATGTGTTGCTTCCTCTGATCTCCTCCCTCCCACCTCCTATTACCCACCCCCTCCTACACTGTCTCTGGTATCTACAGAGATAGATGGTTGCCTTCCCTGCTATTATACCTTCCAATCCTTCCTTTCTGCAATAGAGCACAGACATTTGGTATATATTAAGTAGGGGCATACAATCCTCTCTTTGATAGTCTAACTTGCTTCACTTAGCATTGAATCTTCCATATTCATTCATTTTTGTATCAAATGTCAGGCAGTCTTCCTTTTATTCTCATTTTTATGGCTACAACTTGTTAACTTGTCAATTGCAAACTATTGTTTTCTATGTTGTGTGCGAGACTCTTACATCGTTGTTAATGTGGTCTTTTTTTATACCAAAAATAAAGTTAGAAAAAGAGTTTATGCATTTAAAAACCCAATCTTGTGACCTTCTTGGTGTGGCTGCAGGGAGGCCTCGGCGGGGAAAATGGTGGAAGGGGAAATCCGCCAATGGGAAGGCGCGAGAGGAGAGGCCTGAAAGCCACAGCGAGCTGGAGCCATGGGAGTAATGGAGGGGAGAGTTCCAGCTACAGCGCTGAGAAGTGATCAGCTGGAGAAGAAGCTGTAGACCTCCTAACAGAGCATCAGCTATATCCACCAAACGTGGATCAAGGGAGCCTAAAGAAACTACTCCAACTCTTGCTCAAAAAACTCTTTCAGTAGCAGCGGCTTTTAATGAAGACGAAGTCTGTGAACCAGAGGAAATGCCTCCAGAAGCAGAGACGAGGATGAAGAAAATAGGAGGGGCTACACCAACATCAGCCGGACCAAACTCCTTCAATAAAGGAAAGCATGGATTTTCACATAGCCAGAAGCCGTGGGTGCGAAATATAAAATCTCATCTTGCAAATGTCCATGACCAAGACAAATAATGTGTTTTGAAATTGGAGTGTGGGGTGGGTGTAAAGTTAAAACGAACAAGTTTCCTTCTTAAATGAATAAGAGTATCTTTGGAGTTGCTTTTTTTCTTTTTCAATTTTAAGATTGAGTAGTACAGGGACCAGCAGTTGGCTTAATGGCTATATCGCTGGACTCCCATGTAGTTGACTGGGTTCGAATCCCAAGCCCGGTGGCTTAAACTCATGTCGGGCACATGTTACTAGACTAGTGACAGAAAGTAAATTTAGATAAAATACAGCTTTTTTTCCTTATGGGCATTTGTTTTGTTTCTAGTCATTATAAACTAGGTATTGCATTGCTACCAGTGGATTAGAAGCTTAGCTCTCTTTTTAAAAAATTAATGAAATTTTCATGTAAACTGAATATTTGAAATAGCCCACTTTACCTTAATAGGTCTTATGTACCTTCATTAGTCTTCAAAGAACAACCAAATAAATCAGAATTTTGAATGTGCTTCTCTTGGTTTGGTTTATTAGCTAGTTCCTGTAAGCATTTCCAGCAGAACCTGAGGCAAATCATGAGGAAACTGTTTCTTTTAAAATACAAACCACCACCAAAAATGTCCGTGTACATATATATTGTTTAAGCATTTGGCTATTTTTGTTTTTTAAAAGATATAAATACCAAAAAATAAAATTTAACATTGTATGAAGATAAAAACAAAATGTACTTTCTGTAGCTTTGTGTAAGTATTTACTAACACGTAAAATTCAATTTGAACTGAATTAACTACGATATTTATTAGTACACCTACATGGCTTATTTTACATATATATGTTTTGACCAGTGGCCTCTCAAAAGCACACTTTAGGTACTGAAAATGAAAAGAAAATGTATCTTGAAACATGTTTTATGGAATCTCACACCACATGTACTTGTTAGATTTGTGTATGGTAGGGCTTTTGTTTTTGTATTTTTCCATTGTATATAAATTTTCTTTTTAATGTGACAGTTATAGGCATCTCTAAAAGCATAGCCGCAGACTAAACCATACAGTGTGTAATAATTTCCCTGAAAACTGTAATGTTAAATTTGGAGGCAGCTAAGACCAGCAGTTAGCATAATCACTATGTCGCTGGACTCCCATGTAGTCGACCGTGGTTCAAGTCCTGGACCCAGTGGCTTAAACTCACACCGGGTGCGTGTGCGTGCATGCCCAAGATCCCGAGAGGAAAATGGAGGAGAAGGGACTGCGGCGTGTTCATCCCCCCTGGGAGGTGATTTCTCGCTTTCTATCTCTCGGTCTCTCTCTGTCTTTCTGGCAAGCGCACGTGCCCTATAGCAAAAACCTCTCAAAAAGAAAAAAAAAAAATTGGAGGCAGCTTCGGATTATTACATTGGTGGTAACTACTTGCTGAGCTTTTAAAATAGGTAATAAATCCAGAGAAGCAGCCTATGTATATTCCTAACACTTTGTTCACTTGCATTTAAGTTTTAAATAAGACCCAAGTAAAACAATGGAAATGTATGTCAAACTATTAGTTCTTGCACGATTTAATTATATCAAGATACATGAATTTAACTTTCCTGTAGGCAAACTGTCCATTTTTGTATATTTTATTGTGTGTTAAAACAACATTCCTCTCCTACATTCTTTTCTTGACCCAAATGAAATACTAACCTAAGGTCAAGGTGGGAGAGAAAAACGGCTGAGATGAATGTCTTTACTAAAATACCCATAAATTTATCAAACTCAAAAAAAATTAAGTTAAAAAATAAAAAATAAATCATTCAATCTTATTTATCCTTTGATTTCATAAAGATTTTTTTGGGGGGGAGGAGAGTTTTGCTTTTTATTTTGTTTTGTTTTTTGCTTAAGGCATGTGTGATTGAGGGAGAGACAGAAAGCAAAAAAATCACCTCCCAGGAGGCAATTCTTTCTCCTCCATTCTCCTCTTGGGATTTTGGACTCTCACACACCTGAGCCCGGTGTGAGTTTCAAGCCACCAAGTCTGGGACTCGAATAGTTATCAGTCATGTGGGAGTCCAGCAATGCAACTGCTACACGATCTGCTGGCCCCAGTTTCATAAAGGTTTTAGACATTATTCCATTTTACAATTCCCAGAATGTCGTTTTTACTTTTAAACCGCAGCTTCTTTTGTATGTGTGTGTGTGAGTCGGGGGTCAGGGGTCGGGGGTCGGGGTGGTGGTGGTGGTGGGGGGAGTCCTTATATATTTTACAACATTTTAAACCACAGCTTCTTTATTTTGGAAAATAATTTTTTATTTTGGAAAAT